CGGCGGGTTCACGCCTGGCGCCGTGGAAAATTCTGATCGCTTTATCGCGGTGATCTTCCATTCTGTGTAAGGGAATAGTATTCGATAAGGAAGTACGTAGGATTCTTTCGTTTGAATTTGAATAGCGATAGGAGATAGTGGCGCGTTAGTTGTGCCGCGAAGCATTTTATATCGCGATTTTGTACGGCTTGTCTTGTGACTTTTTTTTTTTTTTCGAGGTAGATTTGATAGTGGAATTATAAGTTAGAATTGTACAAGTGAGATGGAAATTAAGCTTTAGGTGTCGCGTGTCTTTTCATTGCGCTAGTTGACCACGTTACACACAGGATACTCCGCGGCTATGTATCTTTATTAACGTCATCGTCAGTTGCACTACACTCTGGTATCGCCGTTGTTGTCACTATCGCTTATAATTCGATTTTTCATTGGACGGGCCTCCGTTGCTGCAACAGGAACGCTTCCACGTGAAAATTGAGGTTGTAAACTCGTTACGAAGCGTTCAATGATCGACGTTGATTTGCAAAATGTTCGACACAATTGAAGAATTGTCTTAGTTCGATAACAGATCTTCCGTCACAGTGATCGAAAATCCTGTCCTCGTCGGTTACATCGAAAAATCGTGTAAATCTATCGAGAGTAGGACGAAAGATGGAGAGATTGCCGGTTGATCGGTGTCCGGAATACAGCGTAATTGAGATAAGGTCGCGAGGTGTCGACGTGGCGGATTATTCGAAAATAATTTCGGCCAGCGTGCGTACGACACGCCCGGTTTATCCGCTGATCTACGGATTACCTTCGAACGAGGAGGCGCTCGCTTGGAGTGGGGGACGAGAGAAAGATCGAGGATACCCATCCCGAATAAATTTTGTGCCGGTAACGCCGGTGGGTGGTATGGGGTCGACGTTAAGGTTAGACAGAGGTACAGAGTAGAAGCGTAGTATTTCAACGGCGAGAGAGAGAGAGAGAGGGGAGAGTAAAGAGAGATACAAGCGGCGGCAGAAGGAGAGCAGGTGCAAACTTGGCCTGTCAGGAAGTCGCTTACAGCTCGAGGACAAAAGCTTCCCGAGGGACTCGTGCGCGCCTGGAAGCGGGACTATAGGGACGTAGCTTGGTCTCGGATAGAGAAGATGCCAGCTTGGAAGAAGGTTGAAGGTGGCGCCGAGCTGGGGTGGGACGAGCCTAACTGTGAAATAACAGGGTGGCCTCCGCAACCCTCTTCTCGGAGGATGCGAGAGTCTCATACGTCACTTCCTTACAGCGAAAAGAGGGCGGCGTCTCGGCCTGGAAGCAGGTTATATTGATTTATTTATACCGAGGACGCAACCCCAATACGATGGGGTTATTGGGATTGTATCTATATCCGGCCTATAACCTCTCCTTGTGTTCTCCATGGTCGATGGATCTTCGTTGATGCGTTACGCCCACCTGAGATATCTTTCGTTCGTTTAGACGATTTCTTGGAAATTAAACTCGGAACTGTAGCAGGCGATACGTTGAATGCGAAAGTAGAAATCTTGTTTTATCTTGCGCGTGAGATACGATGGTTAAATTTGAGAAGAACGGGTCAAAGTAATCCTGAGCTAAGCCAGATTCCAAACGTGTTACAAAACCGATGACAGACCGGCGAACGAAGAGGGCATATCACGCTTAGCCGTGACTCATAAAAACGGAGCAGCGGCAGAAGAATCGTAATTGAGAATATCCGTACGATTGGCCGGCGAAAAAGTTCAACGAACCGTCCGTTGAAACTGGAAGCACGACACTCGTTAACACAGATGAATCAGTGGCGACGGAGAAGAGGACCTGATACCGATGAGAGAGATCCGTGGACAAGCTGCTCGAATTACATTCCAATTTACAATCGTCGAGCGTGTGATAGTCAGTAAAAATAAACCGGTACGGAGAAAGGAGGAGGGTTCAGAAGCGTCTCGACTTTTCGTCTCCGGTTAAAGACTACGACGACGACCGACGGCGACGACCACGACAATGACCACGAAGACAACGAAGAGGACGCTGGTCATCGAATCGTCCACCTCTCCCTAATATTCGGTCATCCTCTCGCTCCCTCTCTTTCTCCCGTTTCATCTGCTAACACACACTAGTCGACCGCGTGGCATGACTGTCGCTAACACGCGAACCCCGAAGTTAACCCGCAATTTAGCCGCAGAGCGATCGTTCAAAAGAGACGTCTCACTTGATGCCACTTAACGAATCCCCCGGCCGGCCCCCGACTCGTGCTCCGTTTCCAGATGCGACGATTGCTCTCTCTCCTCAGAACACGGAATCGGCCGTGATTAAAGTTTCAGGGGCGGAATAATTCATGACGCGCGGTTCGACCGACTCAATGAATTCGGATCGTCGCTTTCGTATATACGTGTGTGTACGTCTCTCTCTCTCCCTGCATCGTACTGTTTCCGCCGATTCAATTACACCGTGAAAGCTCATGCGCGCGGTTATTATTGCGTTCAATTAAAGAGACGTGGTGTGGAAAGTGTGAAGAAAAAATCGTGACATTCTAACGGCCAGGCTTTTTCAACGAGTGGAACGCAGGGTATTCGACATAGGAGAGCATGTCAGACATTCCTGGACGTCGTTGAAAATTCCCACGATAAATCATGGTTACAGGGTTGACGGGGTGACGCGTATGATTACACCCTGTCTCTTAGCGGCTATAAATTTCTTCACGGCCGCGCCTCCACCTCCGCGCTGCTAGGATTCTACAGGTATTCCCGGGGTCCCGTTTCATCGAGGACTTCGGGGATAACTGTGACGCACGGTCTGCCAGTGTTTAATGGGTCGGCAACGCGACTAGCCGACTCCGAATAATCCTGATGTATCGTTTATTCGCTGGTCCCCTGCTTCGAGCGTTAGAAAGGCTGGATTCCATCGACGTTGAACCAGTCATCTTCGCTTTCTCCCGAAAGATTTTCGTGTCCACCCCTGGCAACAACGCGGTTGCTTTTCCTTCCAACGCGTCTCTTGTTTATTCTGATATATTAACGCGCGGTGTACGTACGTGTGACAGACGCGAGGTATCGAGGCACAGAAATTCACTCGTTCCTCGATGTACGTCGCTCACGTCGTGAGTCAGGATCTCTAATCTCCTCGTCATTAACGCGAATCCAGCTGTCCCTCCAGCCTCCACAGGGATAACCATTACTTTCGAATCACTGGTTCGGCCCTGTCATTTGGCCAGGCCACAAATTAACGCGACTAACCATAACCGTAACGTCGGGTTAAACGCACCTTCTCCTCGGGCCCTGGAATTAGAATCCCGGCTGCGTTTTTTAATCCATTAAGCCCTCCGGAAAGAGAAACACACATGTCTTCTGTGGATGTTAAATCAACGGTTCGACTATGTATCACATGTAAACGCGCTTCGTTTTTTTTTTCCGTTGTCGTCAATCATCGGTAACACCTGCACGGGTGTACTTGAATACAATCGATTAAAGGTTTGACGAATGATAAGATCGTTTCTTATTTCGATTAATGGGGGGGAGATTGGAGACACCGTAGGACATCTAATATCGGGACAAGCGTGTTCCACACGGCTTCCGAGCAATTTTCTGCTTTTCAAGAATATAATTTTCGCCAAGGGATGGTCGCTATATTTCCGTAGATAAGACTGTAGCTTGGCCGGATCTGCTCTCCCGCCCAGGACCACCCTACTCTCTCGTGTGAAATTACTTCGCTCCATGGCTTACTCTTATCCCCCGGTGCCACCCTTTCTTACCGTGTATCCTCATTCAGCCGGGATCTCCCTGGAAATAAAGTAGATACCTTTCCTATTTTCGCATCCGGAAAATTGCAATACCTCCGCCACGAGTTCCTCGTTCCCTTGTCCGCCTTATAAATCAGTCTCTCTAGGTCTCTCCTCGGTTGCCGCCGCGTTAATTGCGCCCTACCTCGATTATTTCTTCTTTTTTCTCCCTCTCTCTCCTTTTTACCTCATCCACCCCGTTCCTAATTATTTTCCCTCGCCGTGTGGATAGTAGTCACGTTGATTTATATCGTTCACGATGTCGCGTGTTTCTCACCTGAACAGACCTGACAGAGAAAAGTTTTCTCCGGGAACGAAGGGGGGACGTGGACGGTCTAATATTAATCGGCGACAATTTAATCGTGAATTACGGGAACCAGCGGTGTTTCGCGGTATCGGAATCTGTCGTATAGAGGGATAGTTGGTTCGATTCCGATACGTACACAGCCGTTCCCGGTAGTGAACCCGGTTGAGCGAGTACCGGCTGTTAAACGCAACAAGCTCTCCTCCGCGCGTTTATCTAATTATTATAATTGCACGATTATTCTTGGCCGCGGCCAGGGGGTGAGATCGCATGCCGGCCAGCGTCGACCGTGGAAAAAAAAGGAAAGGAAAGAGGTAACGGGATATATATGGAGCAGCACGCGATAGAATCTCCGCGGTCGAAGTCGTGATGCGAACGATCACGAATTCTTTGCCCCCTTTGTATGTACCCGGGGCACCTCTTCCTTGCATTCTTTCGCCGCGCACATTCTCCCTCTCTCTTGCTCCCCGTTTTTCTTTTTTTTCTCCACCTTCGAGTCACCCGGGTAATAACTGTTCCGCGAAGAATTTTACACTGTAAAGCGGACCCGGCTATTTATTTGTACGCACCAAGTAGAAAGAGCCCGGAGTTCTTACGCCCTCCCTCTTCTGTGTCTTGTTTATTTTGTTTTGTTTTTTTTTCGGGGGAGAGAAATTTATGTATTTCATTAACCGTGGAGCAAGAACGAGCCTCACCGAGAGGTGATTTGATTCGTTTCTGGTGTTCAGTTCACGCTGGCCACCGTGCAAATATTTCGATTCGTACACATTTGGGATTGGTAGTTCGATATCGGCGGTCGCGCGATCCGCGGTTCCGGTGTATTTACAAAAGAAACCGGTCTAGAGTGGCTGTTTTCACTTGTGTGTGTGTGTGTGTGTTGCTTGTGTGGTTATGAGGCGGTGATTAACGGAGAATCGATTTTTTTCTTTGCTTCAGGTAAATGGTGTCCGCGTAGGGAATGGAGTTCGCCGCCGGACGCGCAGCGAGCGGCGAGCGACGCGCGTCGTGGCGTTCTTTACTCTTCCGTCTTCCTCGGTAGTCCCGGTAAGTCTTACGAAACTCACACACACTCTCTCTTTCTTTTTTGTATTATATACTCTTCTCTGAACGACTACTTCACCCTTCTCTAAATTGAATATCTTGGCGAAATATGGGCCGCGCGCGAGAACACTCTTTGGCCAGACATTCTCTGCCGACAAGCTCGAGCCAAACTCTCTCGTGGAGAATTTCCGACGCTCGTACGTTATCCTTAATTAAACGGGACGCTGCCTGTTTAACGGAGTTCCGGCGTTAATCGTCGCGCCCAGGTTCGCGAGTTCGCACTCTGCTCGTCCAGCTTGTCGCGCATTTGTATCCTTCGATCGCAGCCTGCCGGATTAATCGACGGGAAATGCCGCGGAAGAGGAAGATGCTGGAAAAATAGCCGCGAGAATTAACCCTTTGCTCGGCGATCTTTTCAACGAATTAGGCCAAGTGTCGCGGAGACGGTGTTGATTTATCAATTTTACCGAATTTCCATCGATCTGCGTACGGTATTAGCTAGCTCACGGAAAATTGAATTGCCATCGCTCGCAGCGTTAATGCGGTATTTAACGAAACTTCCTAAGCTTTAATAATTCTCGGTAAACTTCTCCGACCGACACTTTTGCAATCCAACTTCTCGAGTCGGAATTGACACCAGGTAATCCTCGATATCGCGAGAAATTTTCCCTAAAGCTAGACTCGAAGTGAAACGCGTTTTTTCATCGCAGTTTGAGCGCTAGTGTGACTAGTCGCGGTAAAGCAACGGGTTAAAAGGTGTAGAAGAAAGGAGTACAGACGTGTATACCTACTCCCGTGGAGGCAGCGTTGGTTCCGCGTGCAGAGACGTAGGTTGAACGTGTGCAGAGGGAAGGCGATATACGCAGCCCCTGGGTGGGAGGAGCGCAGTCGTTCGCGGCATAAACAAGTTTTAATCGTGCCTCGGGCATTCGCCGCGTTGAATAAATATTGATATCGGGTGACGCGACGGCCAATCAGAATCGGGGCTTATAAAGCAAGCCGCTTACACCTCCGCCTGTCTATCGGTGCGACGCGTGTACACGCGCCACCTATTCCATCCTCTGTACTACGTTACGACATCGCTGATATATATTCTGGAAACATGGAGAAGAGGAAAAAAAAGGGGGAACCCAGTAGTACTCTCGTTCGAGAATTCGTCTTGAATATACACACACACGTACACACATGTACACATATATCGTGTGCTGGCGTGGCCACCAGTAGCCAGTATCCTGGCTGATGATGTCGAGCATCGATACCCATCGATACCGACGTCCGATTCTCGCGGAAACGATCGCGATGCTGTCTATCGTTCGATTTCTCCTTTAATTAAATTACGCGGCCGCCAAGGAGGGCCCCGATAAGAGGACGTAAATCACTCGAAAGTCGATAACTAATCGAACGATTCGAGCCGGAGAGACGTGTCCAGGCTCGTCGTGGAAGACAGGAGTATCGCGCATGCGCGCCCACCGCTTCCCTCTTTTCTCTCTCTCCCTATCGCCGTCGTCGTTCCTCTTCCTCCGCGGCGCGGCTCGGCTCGGCTCGGCCGTGTCGTGGCCCTCTCTTCGTCCGAAGGAACACGGAGGGAATATGAGCGAATGCCAGAGAGGTAGAGAAGCTTGGCGAGTTTGCCTGTGCGCGGTACGCGCGCGACGGGGAGAGAGAAAGCCCCGGAGGAGAGAGGGAATTATACGAAGCGGCGGAAAGAGAGGAAGAAGGAGGAAACGGCGTGGTTGAAGGGAGATAGAGGGCGGTGAGGATTCGGTAGTGTGTGGCACGTTCAGAGGGAAAGGGACGACGACGCTTGGAGTCAGGGAGGACGAAGGAGAGATAGACAGAGGGCAGCGAGGGAATGAGAAAGAGAGAAGTCCACGAGGCGTCTCCATGGCAACGAGGCGAGGCGGGAATGCGACGGTAACCATGGCAGCCGCGGGTTCCTCTCTCGGACCCGACCTGTCTGTGTCTGTGTCCCTCTTTCTACTCCCTCGTCCTCTTCGTTCGCCTCCTCTCTCATCTCTGGACCCTCTTCCTTCCGCCCACGGATACCGCCGAGCAACGAGAAGCACCGACGGATCTCTCCGCGAGGAGAGAAGAAGAAGGTGGAGCGGCGGACCTCGGGGATCTCTTCGCCTCCTCGAGAAAGCTTCTGGCTTCTCCTTTTGCTCTCCTTTTTCTCCGTCTCCCATTCGCCGGATCCTTCCTTTTCCTTTTTTTCTTCTTCCCTCTCTCTCTCTCTCTCTACGGTGCCCACGACGATTGCGCTAGTAATGGCACGGTTTTATCGGCGCCGGGATAAACCGTGATATCGACGCGATACGTAAATACACACACGGCCGCGTAAGAGAGATCGAGGTTTAATTGTAATTGCGCCGGTGTGGCGTGGCGGAACTTTGAGTATAGAGGAGAAGCTGACGGACAGGTAGTAGGTAGTGCTCCGGGTAAAAAAACAGGGTAAATGATAGTATAGCTCGTCGAAGAAACCGAACGATAGGCGTGACTAGTTATTCAGTTTGTAACATTGTTCGGTGAATTGACGAATACGCGAGGGTCACGGGTTAACCCTTTTTTTGCACTTTGCTGCCGCCGATACATAATTCTATTCAAGTTTTATTCACGTTAACACGAAGCACATCGATCAGAGGAATAAACACGTGGATAGATTTACGTCGAATTTGATTTTCAACAGTGTAGAACAGGGGGAGAGAGAGAGAGAGAGAGAGATAGACGGTACGGTAACATTGTCAAGTTGGCAATATATTGACTTTATTCGCAACAATCTATAATTCTCTCTTTTTTCAAAATGAAACGTTTAGCTTTGAAAAGTGTGTCGTAAGCTGTGCCAGTCGACCGTGTGATAAACAGTTGGAAGTGCGATCTGACAATTTCTTTCCGTTCCTTGGTAACTCGGTACCGGCTGTCCATTCGTTTAAAACGTCAGCCTGTTCCGCGGCGGTGCGTTAATGTTGTTGTTTAAAAAGCGCCGCGGGAGCGGCATTAATTAATCGAAATACGGAAACGGGGGATAAATTTTATCTCGGCCCGTGCAGCTCGACTGTTAATAATGAATCGTTAATGCTAATTTTTGATTTATGCGTTCATAATCTTTCCCCCGGACGCGTCTCTCTGCGGCTAGATCGCAACAGCGCCGCGCTACACCGCCACCCTCGCCTCCCCCGCCGCCCTTGTGCGCTTTTTGAATGCAACCGATATCGGTGACTGAATTAAACGACCAGCCGGAAGCGCGGGATAAATTTTGTTGCAGGATGCGCCGGTTATTAATAATGACTATTTCCTAGCAGCTCGTTAATAGGACCGCCGACCACCGATTGCAATTTACGCGTCCCTCCCTTTGTCCCCGAAATTTTCGAATCGCGGTTTCCACCTCTGTATAATTCCCGTCTAACACACATCATTGAACCGTTTATAACACGAATTTCCCAGAATTAAACAAGAAAGAAAAACGAAAAAGAAAAAAGCTTCTCTAACTGGTAGATTTACTCTCGACGACCATTTTGTATTTCCACTGTTTGGAAAAAAAAAAAAAAGAGGAGAACGAAGAGGAGGAG